CACACAATAGTGACAGGGCTGCAAAGGGAGGTTGCCAATATGAAGTTAAGGTGAAATTGCGTCTTTTGGCAGCTAAGAAATTCTGACACAGGCTTTTAAAAAAAAAAAAAAAAAATCTTCATAAATTAAGCTACCAGAGTTTTTCTTAAACATTAAGTTTTAGGCTCCTCTTGAATCTAGCAGTACATGAATCAAGACGTACCTTTGAAATACAAATTTAAGCCTTGGCATCAAGTATTTTGGAGTGAAGCTTTTAAATGTAGGCTCAAAAGGACATCTCCCTGACTACAGACAAGAACTTCTAAAGGAGTAGCTCATGTTTGCCAGCATTAGGTAAGCCTATTGTCTAATCTATTCACTAGGAAAAAAGTCTCCTTCTTACTGGGCTGCTCAGGCTTGCAGTGTGCTCTTGACTTCCCGTTAATAATCTCAAACACTACCCTCCAAAGTTGCCCACATTAAATAAATTTAAGCAGAAGAACAGGGAGAGAAAATTAAAAGTCTCTTGGTTTAATGCAACCATGATCTAAAAAGCCCGACTTGGGAAAGATAAATCTGAACATGCAAAAAAGGAGTAAAACAATGTTCGAAATGTAGAGGTTATGTGTAAGCAGAGATTTGGTCCCAAAAGCTGGAATAAATTGCAGAAGCAAGGGAAAAAGAATTTAAAATAAAAGCTGCATAGGGCCATTTGCATCAGCAAAAGCTAATCTTAAAAATGAGCTGCTTTTCTGGAAGCCAGTGAGACTCCAGGACTAAAAACCTGGAAACACAATTATTCCCAAGAGGAAAGATTTGGGGGACCACAACTGAGACAGCCTAAATCAACAACAATTCTGGCTCATCATCTTTCACCTTGAGAGTCAACACACAAATCTGATATCAGAAAAATAAGTTTTTGCAGCTCTGTAGCCTCCTGTGTGTGCGGGAAACAGCAGATCTGTCTTGATTTCATCTCTGTACAGTACAAATAATATTTTACAGTAGGGGGAAGAAAAGTAAACATGGCAGAATATAGGAACCAGGAGAGATATGAAGAGGGAAGCAGAACCTGTAGGCCTGCAAGCTTGCTGCAATAAATCACACGTGTTGGGACCTGAAAACACGTATTCATCATTGAAGTGTCACGCCTGAGAAACCAAACTAACACAAATCTCACCAGGCAGAAGGATCCAGCAGCAACACAAGTCAAAAGTGAGGATGACACATGGGCCAGGAGTTAAAACTGAGCTCAAACAGAAACTAAGTACAGTGTAAGTATTATTTTTTACCAGTGTTCTCATGCTTTGATAGAACTTAAATTCAGCAAAGCCCAGCTACAGTGCTAAGAAAGGGAACTGAAAACTGGCAACAATAGAACCAAACAAACCAAGAGAACCTGCAGATAAACCCCCATCATCTGTTCCTGCTCTCATCCTGCAGATGATTCCAGGATAACCTGGAAATTTATTTTACAAAATAAAATAAATGCTTTACAAAATGGTTTGTGGCAGAGGGGAACAGATGCCACACCTATAGTAACCTGAAAACAACAAATTCCTTCAAATGGTGGGTCTGAGCAACCTGATCTAGTTGGGGATGTCCCTGCTCACTGCAGGGGGTTGGACGAGATGACCTTGGAAGGTCCCTTCCAGCTCAAAGCGTTCTATGATTCTATGAAATCTTCCTTGAAACAAGTGTAAAACCAACTGTTTAAAAGCACCAACTGTTAAAACAGGCAATCAGATATTATCCACAAGACAGTGGTCAACTGTACTCTGCTATGTAGGTGCTCAAATCAGGTTATGGAAGTCTAGCCAGCTTTCCCCTTGAGTTAGTCTCCCTGTAAAGCCTCATTTCCATTGATATTATTAGGAAGTACTAAGAAGCATTGTTTAGAATCATTAGCCTGAAAAAAAGGAGTTAAAAAATGACCAACTATTCATACAAGGTTTGGAGGTGAGAAGGAAATGAGGCATAGACCTTCATGGGGTAGGGGGAGGAGGGAATGTGATACTCCCGGAGAACTAGGCTTGATAGTCCTACAAGTTTTGAAATATTATCCAGGCAAAGAATGTGTTTTGTCTTGCTAACAACTGTGTATCACCTATTGGAAAAAAAAAAACCAACCTGGTTGTATGATGGCAAAACCTCTAAGGCACCACTAAAGCTTCCTGTTAGGAGGTCTGCAAAGCCAGCACACAACAGAAGGGAAGAACACATACCTACACTTTGAGAAGAGTTCCCACCTGAAGGTCACCTCACCTCTGCTTATCCAAGCCTGAGGGTGACCATTCACAACCTGCACCCCTTCCAATCTACTGATCAGTGCTACACAAGTCACTGCTTAGGTGTTTTGTCCCTAAGTCAGAGGATCACACGTCACCTTTGTGACTTTTACATCACAGTGGTGGACACCACACAAAGTCATGGTGGTATCTTCCCTGATGAAGAAAGCTTTTCTTGATGCATCTTGCTAGGGGACAAGAAGAAAAGCAGACAATCTTTTCATCTGTGACTACTGACACAATAAAACAGCACAAGGGACTGAGCTTCCATCTCTCAGGGCCTGTTTACTTCCACTCTTTCGTTGGCTGAGCTGAATTTCCATCAGGCAACACTTTTTACAGTATTGCTCAGAAATTATACTTTTTCTACTCCTGTATTTGTTTTCCTTCTCTTAGACTCCTCCCAAAACAAGCCAGTGTCCAAATCCCTTAGAGTTCCCACGGAGTAGAGTTTCTCTGCAAGGAATGAAGGATAATGAAGGCAAAGAGTGACACAGAAATAAGTGCTGGTAAGACCTGTGGCATCTCACATGGCATGAGCCCCAGAGAAGGGCAACAAACCTGGGGAAGGGTCTAGAGCACAAGTCTCATGAGGAGCAGCTGAGAGACCTGGGGGTGCTGAGCCTGGAGCAAAGGAGGCTCAGGGGAGACCTTCTGGCTCTCCACAGCTCCCTGACAGGAGGCTGGAGCCAGGTGGGGGTCGGGCTCTTCTCCCAAGGAACAAGCAATAGGAGAAGAGGAAAGGGCCTCCAGTTGCACCAAGGGAGGTTTAGGTTGGATATCAGGAACAATTTCTTCCCCTAAAAGGGTTTTCCAGGCCTGTCCCAGGCTGCCCATGGTAGTGGTGGAGTCCCCATTCCTGGAGGGGTTTTTAAGCCCTGGAGATGTGGTGCTGAGGGACATGGGTCAGTGGTGAACCAGCCGTGCAGGACATGGTGATTCTAAAGGCCTGCTCCAACCAAAAGGAAACTATGATTCTATGACAATGTTCCACAGGATTTTCAACACTGTTACCCACAGAAACAGAATTTTTGGTTGTGTATCAGCAGTTTGTCCACTGGTCTTCAACCCAAAACTATTTATCACATAACACTTTTTCTGCATTCACATCAGAAAATTCTCCACTGTGAGGACAATGAGACACTGGAACAGGTTTGCCCAGGGAAGCTGTGGATGCTCCATCACTGGAGATGTTCAAGACCACCTTCAAAACCACCAAAGGGGCTTTGAAAAACCTGGTGTCCCTAGTCAAATGTCCCTCTCACCTTCACTGAATGCATCTGTACCCTCCAGAGTGAATCAGAACAGAAGCACTCAAGAGTTCCCTAGAAGGTTACTATAACCCTCAGCTATTTATTAATTTAGCAACAACATTCAACATGCAAAAGCAAACTTCATTAGCAGTAATTATGCTCAACAAAAGCTGTGTTGATTATAACTCAGATTCCCACGCAGGTCACCTGAGTTACCCATTTAAAGCAGTGAGAAGCCAGGTACTGACCAAGCTAAGACCTGGTCTGCTAAGGTTGTTAGAATCATAGAATCATTTAGGTTGGAAGGGACCTCCAAGATCATCAAGTCCAACCATTGAGCCATTAGGGCTCTAAAGTCCTCTGCTAAAACAGATCAGAATCTGTCAGGGTTGGAAGGGACCACAAGGGTCACCCAGTTCCAACCCCTCTGCCATGAGCAGGGACACCTCCCACTAGATCAGGCTGCCCAGAGCCTCATCCAGCCTGGCCTTAAAGACCCCCAGGGATGGGGCCTCAACCACCTCCCTGGGCCCCATCCCTGCTCTCCTGGACCACCATAATACAGACGATGCATCTGCTACCAATCCTTATGGAATCTCAGCATGGTAGAGGTTGGAAGGGACCTCTGGAGATCATCTCATTCAGCCCCCCCTGCTCCAGCAGGTCACCCTTGACAGGGTGCACAGGTTCACATCCAGGCAGGTTCAGAATCTCTCCAGAGCAGGAGACTCCATAGCCTCTCTGACAGCCTGCTCCAGGCTCAGCCACCCTCACACCAAAGAATTTTCTCCTCCTGCTCAAGTGGAACCTCCTGGGTTCCTGTTGGTGCCCATTGCCCCTTGTCCTGTCACTGGGCACCACTGACAAGAGTCTGGCCCCAGCCTCTTGACCCCCTGCCCACCCTTTAGCTCTTCATCAGATCCCCTCTGAGTCTTCTCCAAGCTCAACAGCCCCAGGGCTCTCAGGTTTTCCTGGGCACAGAGATGCTCCAGCTCCCTCAGCATCTTTATATTAGGTACAGTCTTAAAAGAATGATTAATTCACTTCCCCCTAGTGAAGAACGTTGTTTTCCAGCATTCTCCCCTGCTCCATACACCTCTGAGAAGTGCTGAGTGCCCATGATATGGAAGATATTATAAAAGCAGAAGAAAACAGTAGAATATTCTGGACATTTGCATGGTCTGTATTTTGGGAAAGTCACAATCTTCATCAAGCGAGCTTAACTCTTGTGAAGAGGAACTAATTGTTTGTGAAAAATCCTTACATCTAAATTTTTTGCAGCATCCCCAGAACCCCATCATGGTGGGGGGTTGGCAGGGACCTCTGGAGATCATCTCATCCAATCCCCCTGCTACAACAAGGCCACGCAGCACCCAAAGCAGGTTGTCCAGGATCACATCCAGGCAGATTTGGAATATCTCCAGAGAAGATGTCTCTTTTCTTTCCAGTCCTTTCTCTTTACTTACAAGCAAATACTTACCATCTAACCAACAGCCCAACCTCCATGAAGCTTTTCAGGTTTGGAAGAGTTTGCCGTAGATCTGGAGTACTCATTCCACGCTGGTATCTAAGCTACAAGAACAGAAAAGAAAAATAACCCCACAATTAGGACAGCTTTCCAAATCCCAGATTCCAATGACTGTAACATTATGGTTATTAATTCACTAGTTTTTCAAAGAAAATGTAGGACAATCAAGCAGTTCCAAGACATCTATTCCCCTTAAGGAAATAGTCCATTTAATAGTCATAACCTTCTATTAGCAAAACCCACCCAAGAACAGGGGCAAAATAATCAGTCAATCTGACTGTTAACCTCATTACACTTTTCCTGCTTCCTATCTGTAACAGGAGAGCAGCCTCACAGCTTAATGAAAATACAGCAAATAAGTGAAAAGACCCAATTTCATGATTCTGTATAAGTCACCCATTCAAAACATTTATTTGTGTGCAAGTGTCATGTCATAAGATGGAATCACCAGTGGAATTATTACAGTAATACTGACGAGTAAAAAGACATATTGTCACAAAAAGATCTAAATCTCTGTTCCTTTTACAGTTTACATCAGCATTTGAACAGCTATTATTCTCATAATTAAACCCAGCATTCCAATAAAATGGCATGAAACTAAAGGCTTCAAACATTGACTTTAATCCAAATCTTACCTCCTATGGGGGTGCAAATGTAAATGAAAGATTCAATACACTGATTTCATGCAAAGTGAAATTTCTTTTAACTTAGATTATCAATTGAAGCACACGTGACATAACTGTCACTGCTGGCAAGTATAAGCTAGTTATTTAACAAGTCCCCAAAGTAAAAATATCTCTGAAGAAAATGGCTCATGGAAAGGAATAAAATCTTTCTTTCCAGGTTGAATCTCAAAACTTCATGGAAACGTTCAGTTGAGATTTATCCCTTGTGTGGTTAAAATATGAAAAAAAAAAATCTCTCTAAATTCCACAATCTTTATGGGAATTAAGAAGTACTGACAATATCCAGCTCTCAGCAGACGGTACCACCCTCTAGAAGTCAGAGCTGGCCTCCAGCATAGAGTAACTGCATAAATTTGGTACTGAAAGAGCTTCTTGAAACATGGAACAATCCCACTCAAAGTCAGCTTGGGTTTTTAGAATTACACACTGGTTTCTGCAACTTGGGGCAGTGAGGTGTAGGCAAACCCCCTCTATGTTAGAAACATTTCTGACCTCTTCCAAACAATGAGCCAATCAGTTGGTTTTGTGTTTTTTTGTTTTTTTTTTTTTTCCTTCCACAGAAAAAGGCTTTTGAAATTGGGAATGATTTCTATGCTCTTAGAATTTTAGAAAATATCTGCTTTGGAAGAGAATCATCCTCAGTCCTGCGTTGTACAACAGGAGGCCATTTATTACCCAGCTTATTATTTCCATATGGACACTGTCGAGTCATGTAGTGGGTTTGGATTCATATTTTCTGCTACAATGACAGAACCTGGATTAAGAAAACCATACAATATAAATTACTAAACGATCACCACATTCTCCTGATGGGATTACAGTGGATTTGGTTAACCAAAGAAGTAGCCTGGGGCAAAAGAAATATAAAAGAAAAAAAAAAAAAAGCAAATCAAAACCATTACGTTTGTCCCTTCTACTACAATCAAAAGTTCATAGAATACCCCTTTTTATAGTCATCCTTAAATTCTAAGGTTTCAGAGCATGAAAAGAATTGGATTAAAGGATCTTGCTATTCCCAACAGCCAAGATCAGAGGAATGCATGCCAGACTTAGCAAAACACAAGCAAAAACTGCTAAAACACATTTTCATCCTGCAAATAGTAGAGTTGTCTAGTAAGTACAGCTAAGATGTAAGTTTAGTGAAACCTGTGGAAACAAACATGATTTAACTTTATAAATTGCATTCTATTTTGGCTTTGCAATAGGTTACAACCAAAGCAATACTGCCTCATGTGTCTGTATCTACAGGGTGCTGTATTTACAAAACAAACCCACATGGAAACCCCGAACCTGCTGAAAAACTCATCTGCCTTCTAGCAACAAAAAAATTCCAACTCGGTAGACAGAGCCATAAGTTACTTTCCAGGTTTTAGACTGGTTCTAAAATTAACATCGTTGCTTGAATGAGGAGGCAACTCCTACTTCACAGTGGTCTGCAGTAGTTTCACATACCCCAAAAAAGAAATCTACCTCTGCTGAGTGACAGAACCAACTACGGGAAGAGCACCCAAACAGGAGCATGGAAGGAGAAAACACGAGATTTCTCTTTTACTTAAAAGAGCAGAACTCCTCTTCCTCCTACTTTCACCTTCTGACAATCCTGCATCATTAGTAACGACTGGTTGTAGTTTTGTTTTGTTTTGTTTTTTTTCCCCTAAATCAAAGCATTTCTCACACAACTTCCCTTAATATTGACCCATTACAGAAGGATTCATACAAGTACCCAAAATCAACTTTAAAAAGAGAAAAAATGCTCTTTTTTAAAAAAGAGAAAAATGCTCTCTTTTTCTAAAAAGAGACAGATGCTTTGCTCACAGGAGTTAAAAGGACAAGAAAACAAAAGCAGAAAGAGGTGACTCTGTATTGTCTTAATTCTCCTGAAAAACCGAGTTCCAGGTTCAATCATTGCTGTTAACCACCACCCATCTCCACCCACCCCACACTAAGTTTCCAAAGAAACAAGTATCACTTGCAAAAGCAGCATTTTATTTAAAGATTCAGTTGTTCCTTCAGGATATTACAGACCTGGCCTTCCAAAGAAAACGTGCCTGCTTTAATTTGAGTGAACAAGTGTCCAAGACTCGTGCTCACATTTATAACTCTGTATTCTCTGTGGGACTGTGAGTAAATCATTAATGGTGTTCAAGGAATAAAATCTTAATTGCCATTTCCTTACTAATATTTAGCTCCCATATACAGCTTTGTTTTCCCAAGTGCTGTGTGAAACGTTACTTGATTGAGCAAAAACACGTAGTAAACATGAACTGGGAAAAAAAAAGCTAAAGACATCAGATACTTCAGCCAGGAATCTGAGTCTGCTCACCTGCCAGTTACTAGCAACACTTACTCTACAGAAACAAGATGTAGCAGATGAGATGCATCATATTTTACGAATAATTCAAGAGAGAAGAGCTTAAGAGTACTGATATTTAAGTGAAAAAAACCCTCACTTTGTAATTTCCTTAAATTACACAGATTAATTCCTTTTACTCATCTTAAAGAGAGAAAGCATCAACATTTTACTGTCCTTTGTTACTTTGGCTTCTACATTAACTGTCATCATTCCAAGTTATTTAATTAGACATGTAAAGAAGCAGATACTGAACAGTGATTTAAAAAAAAAAAGAGACACATTCATGTTTCTACAATAGTTTCAAAAACAACTCTAGATTCATCCAATCTAATTCCCTTCTCAGAAAACTTGTATCCCCAAATCTCTGTCGCTGCAAATGCAGAGTGATAAACTCAAGGGTTTCAGCATTGGGAAGACTGAGAACAGGACAGACAGTATTTCTAACTGGCAGTAGGTACCTGCCTGCACTGCTTGTGTAAAATCAGAGGGTTTTGTTTGTCCTAAGACAATTTCAGGAACTATCTGCACAGAAGAATTAGAAGATAAAAGAGATTTAATTTATATTAAGGTCAAATTTCCCACTAGAGAAGACCAGCCTATCATACTAGGGGGGATTTTATACTACACTTGCTATTTATTCTAATATTACAGAAAATCAAAAATGAAATAAGCTGCATTTAAAGCAATGGTTCCCAGAGTGAAAGGTCGATTTATTCTTAAAACTAAAATAAAAATGCTTAACTTCCAACAAAACCTAAGAAAATTGCTCCAGCTAACACAACCACAGCATTAGCTGTATGCAAGGCATGAGAAACAAATTAGCATGAGCTCATAACAAGCTGGGCTTAATTGGTTTAGACTCTTCAGGAAGAGGGAAAAAAACCGGAATAAATAGTCAGTCACTCCAGTTTCTATCTGCATTTCCTTCTGTGCCATGGCTTGAACATCTACTGGAAGGAAGCTGTCAGTCCTCAGCAGTGAATCAGCTCCACACCTCAGCACCTCTAAACCTGCTATCCAGGCATCTTCCAGGGAATTTACTTTGTCAACCAGACAAGTAAATTTAATTAAAATCACGTCAGGAAACTTGAAAGGTTCTCATGGAATTGCCACCTTTAGGAAGGCGGTAGAATATTCATTCAACAAGTCATAACAAGTGTAGCTACCTCATTAGTTAATGGATTTGTACAGAATACTATATATAATGTAGTTCTTAATATAAACATGCACAGGTTCTGTTACTCTTCTATAAACTAAGAGATAAGAAGTACTAGAACCAGTGAAGTTCTTCAATTAAGCTGGCTTAAAAAGAATCCATTCAGCTATCTTTCTGCCTCTGGGTCATATCAGATGGCACTCAAGATCAAAATTTGGGCTCTTGCCACTAAGGGACCGCCTCTTAAAAAGTAGAGTAATAATAACCTGGATAAAAAAAGTTCATCATGAACCAGCAATAGGCCTTTGTGGCCAAGAAGGCCAACAGTCTCCAGGGGTGCATGAAGAACAGCGTGGTCAGCAGGTCTAGGGAGGTTCTCCTCCTCCTCTACTCTTCCCTAGGGGGGCCACCTCTGGAGTATTGTGTCCAGTTCTGGGCTCCCCAGTTTAAGAGAGACAGGGAGCTACTGGAGAGAGTCCAGCAGAGGCCATGAAGACATTGGTGAGACTGGAGCATCTCTGTGCCCAGGAAAGGCTGAGAGCCCTGGGGCTGTTGAGCCTGGAGAAGACTCAGAAGGGATCTGATCAGTGCTCATCAATAACTAAATGGGAGGTGGGGGGCAAGAAAACGGGGCCAGACTTTTCTCAGGTGCTGCCCAGTGACAGGACAAGGGGCAAAGTCTACAAACTAGAACCCAGGAGGTTCCATCTGACCAGGAGGAAGAACTTTCCTGTGAGGATGCCCAAGCCGTGGAGCAGGCTGTCAGAGAGGGTGTGGAGTCTCCATCCCTGGAGGCTTTCAAAACCCCCCTGGATGCCATCCTGGGCACCCTGCTGTAGATGACCCTGC